GTGTGTGTGTGTGTGTGTGTGTGTGTGTGTGTGTGTGTGTGTGTGTGTGTGTGTGTGTGTGTGTGTGTGTGTGTGTGTGTGAGATCAGTTCTGACCTCCTGGCGTCATACATGAAAGGAAGAGGCTGACCTCATGCATGTGTTTGGGCCTCCCCTCCCACCTGTATCCCATCACTTCATTTGTTCTGAGAGCATTTTTTTTGTTGTTGTTTTGCTTATTTCTTTCAAGCTTTGTTCTTCACTTCATTGAGTTCTTTTGCATGTTTTTTCATCCTACATTCTATTTACTTGTAGCTGTTTCGTCCATCCATTTTCCTTTACTGCTTATCCTGTTAAAAGTTGTGGGGAGCTGGAGCTTATCATACATCCAGGAATGGTCACAAGTCAAACAAAGGGCCCAATACAGAGACAGACAAACATCCATACTTGGAGCTTATCATACATCCAGGAATGGTCACAAGTCAATCAATGGGCCCAAATACAGACACAGACAAACATCCATACTTAGTGTACATTCACAAATGAAGTCAGGTTAGTAAACCACAACACCAACAATGACTTTTTTTTAACTTTTCAACTATCCTAAAAAGTCAGTCGGGTAAAATCTCCAGTTCGGTTTTGCCATTGTACGGGGGTGCAAAAGTCGGTTTACTGCTGTAAGAGTTATACAGAATTCTTTATTGTTTTTACCCTGTTTCATAATTTATTTCTTTAAAATAGTTCATGTGAGGTAACCAAGGCAGGTAATTTTACAAACAACCAACAAAAGATCTTTGGTTATCAAACGGGATTGGATGTCAGAAAATGCAGAAAATGTTTCAACAGAAGTCGGCGAAGGAATTTGGCGATAAATTTTACCGTCAAACCTTTTCAGCAAGCGCTATCATTCAGTCCTGTTTTATTATTTCCTTGGAGTAATTACCTGCCATGGTTATCTGAGAAGAAATGTCAAAAAGATTTACTCAGGGAGATAAATAATCAAGAACTCTGGATAACTCTTACAACTGGACACCGACTTTTCCACCTCCCTGTATATGATTAATGGTAGACACGTATTTAGTTGTTTGTTCACCTGATTTCCTGGCAGGCAGGATGGGTTCAGTATGCGCTAGTGCAAAACAGTGAATAGTTGGATTAGAGCACCGGTGTCAAACGTCAAGGACACAAGACCCAACAAATTTGGGACTACGTGAATTAAAAAAAAAAAAAAAAAAAAAAGAATGCAGTGATTTGGAAACAGTCAGCCGCATCTCATTTCCTGTGAGGTGAGCTGAGAAGCAAACAGATGCCGCCTCAGTAGTCACGGACATTTAGAAGGTTGGACACTCACAGTCTTTGATTAATGGATTCCAACGGAAGGCAAATGCAGTCATGGCTTCAATTTCCTTCACTCTTTATTGGACAAAGAACCACTCGTCGGATTTCCGTGCTGTGTAGGCAGCGTGAGTTCAGTCCCCATTTGGGTGTAGTTTGCCTTTTCACCCAAAATCATTTGGGATAGGCTCCAGCTCCCAATGGCCAGGAACCGAATAAGCAGTATAGAAAAAGGGTAGATGTAATATCATACTGATAATCTTTTCCATAGGTGCTCCAAAGCATAACAAAACCTAAACTAAAATATCCATTCATTCATCCATTTTCTACCGCTGACCGGGGGGGCGCGGGGCCAGCAGCTTTAGCAGGGAAGCCCAGAATTCCCTCTCCCCAGCCACTTCTTCTAGGTCTTCCTGAGGGATCCCGAGGCGTTCCCAGGCCAGCTGGGTGACATACAGGTAGTCTCTCCAGCATGTCCTGGGTCGTCCCCGGGGCCTACTGCCGATGGAATGTGCCTGGAACAGTTCACCAGGGAGGCATTCAAGAGGCATGCTAATCAGATGCCCGAGCCACCTCATCTAGTTTCTCTCACTGTGGAGGAGAGAGAAGCGGCTCGACTCTGAGCCCCTCCCGGATGGCTGATCTTCTCACCTTTAGAGATAACTAAAGGAGAGCCCGGACACCCTGCGGAGAAAAAACTCATTTCGGCCGCTTGTACACGGGTTCTCGTTCTTTTTGTCACGACCCATAGCTCGTGACCATAGATGAGGGTTGGTATGTAGATCGACCGGCAAATTGAGAGCTCCGCCTCTTGGCTCAGCTCCTTTACCACGAGAGACCGACACAAAGTCCGCATCATAGCAGACGCTGCACCGATCCGCCTGTCGATCTCTCGCTCCCTCCTGCCCTCACTCGTGAACAAGACCCCAAGATACTTAAACTTGTCCACTTGGGCTAAGATCTCCTCCCTGACCTGGAGAGGGCACTCCACCCTTTTCCGACTGAGGACCATTGTTTCAGATTTGGAGGTGCTGATTTTCATCCCAACCACTTCACACTCAATGCTCAAGTGAACCTAAAATATGCAAGACAAAAATGACAAAATACAGCACCTAGATAACTTGTGTGTGGTTAACATTGGTCATGAGATACTCTAATTTAGCTCTGCTTTAAAGAGTTGACCTGGTTTCTTTTATTAAAAATGATCTGCTCTGTTTTGGAGGAGATTGTGTCAAGAGGGACGGACATTGCTGCAATGCACAGTCTCCATCCAGCACCAAGCAGCAACTGCCTTAGAAATTGTTGCTGGGTTTCCATGACACTTTGTCGCAAAATAAAAGTGATATTCCTACAATTTCGGTCAAGTGCCACTTCTACTTGTGTTTCCATTTCAGAGTGTTTGGCTTCCAAAGCATAATTCTCGTAACATCCCATCTCGAGATCTTGTAATTTTCGTAAAATCTCATATTCTCGCAAGAGGTGTGTTTACGGATGATGCACATTCAGTTGTTTGCAAATGAGGCTAATGAGGTTTACCAATATGTGCCGTCTTCTGTGTAGCGTCTCATACCATGAAAATAAGAGGAATGCTAGTCATGTGACTTCCCATGCACATGGCTGTGAAGGGTCACACGACGAGCGGAAATGCAAAAAAAAATGTGTTTCTGTGACACTTTTGCGATATACTTCCTCATGAGAGTGCAAAAACCTTGGTGATATTTGAGAGTTTTTATGAACGTTCTGTGTTTCTGTTACCAGTTTGCTATTGCGCAATTTGCAACGGAAACCCAGCCACTGGCACCTTCATTAACCTTTTCAGGGACAGTGGTGACTACAGTGGACAGCTTATCATGTTATCAGGTTAGAGGGTGTATGACAGGGTTCATATCAGAAAAGATTTTTTTTTTGCAGATGCGACATTCTCCCTTTGTAGTGTCAATTACGTTGAGATGTTTCCTTTTCCCGCTGTCCCTGAAGTTCGTACCTATTCCTTACGAGCGCGATTGTGTTGTCTCTCGCTGCTCCGTTTCCCTCTGTTCTCTCTCCCTCCTGTGTGCTGTAACTGCCGCCACTTTGACAATCATGTACGGGCTCTCTGAAGTGAACAATGAGGACGGCTTTGCGCTCATCGTTCACTTCAAAGAGTCGGCTTTCAGAGCTGTTTCGTTGCCGACGGACACATCACGATGGAGGCTGCCTCACGAAGGACAGGCGTGTCTCACAAAGTGCAAGGGAGAAATAGAACGAGAGAGGGTACTATGGGCTCATGTACTCCCGGTATACCGTAAAAAGTCCCGGTACGCCAGAGGCTAAAATTGAGAGGTGGTGGTACTCACTGCCGGTCCACTTAAAGAACTGATCTCAAGTGAAAGGGCTTCCAAGAAAAGTTGTTCTATCAATAAGGTTCTGTCAAATTCATTTGACCACGAAACTGACATAAAGGCGAATGTCTCTGATTCAAGGCTATCATAGATGATTGAAAACTAAAAAAAAACATTGTTGTTTACATTTTGTTAAAATAAAATCGGAAATGCATTTGAAAAAAGTACATTTGAGAAATAATTGCTCAATTAATCAATTAATCGGTTCAATAGCAGTCACATTTCTGTTTCCCCTGCTTGTTATTGTATGACTGATTTTTACTCCTTGTACAGCACTTATATGCAGCAATGATTGTTTTAAACTGCTACATGGGAAAAAAAAGTGGAGTTGAGAATTACGGGTGTAATCTTCGGGAGTTTTAAATGGTCAGGGGGGAGAAAAAATATCAAGGAAAATTTAAAGATAACAGGAGAGCTTTGAAACTCTTCACTTGGACAAGAATGGCTGAGACCAATTGCAGGCCTCAGTCTTAAAGTGAAATGGTTCACACATCGGGGTCAAATCTCGCCTGTCAGAACTGAACATGACCAGCGAGCAACATTCATGAAACACACACGACAAATCACCTTAAAGGTCCAGGGAAGCACAGGAGTGAGACTGCCGTCTACGATGACACAGACTATTCAGAAAAATTGGTGACGCTTTTTAAGGCACTAAAAGAAAGCTCATGCAGTATGTGTATTAATATATTCTGCTCCTCTCTCGAAACGATGGCATCTTTTCGTTGAATCAAAGACGCTATGAATCAAATCTCTTCTCTGGTCTAACGTTACACAAAGAAAGTTGGGGGGAAGGGAGACAGAAATGTGATTGGAGAGGATCTGCTTAGCTGGGTGATAAAACTAAAGGGAGCAAGGCAGGCAATCTGCATAGAGAGAGAGAGAGAGAGAGAGAGAGAGAAGGAGATGAGGAGGTTTAAGACAATGTACTAAAGCCGCAGAAATGAGATGAGATTATTTAGGGCATTAAGAGAGCATGAAATAGTTAGATGAGAGGCTCAAAGCTTTGCTGCACTTTAAACAAAACGATGTCTACTTTAAATAACAGGCCAATGAAATCACAAGTATACATCTACTTAAAGCACTGTATCACACACAGGGAAAGGGAATGTGGATTCATTTTGCCACAAAATGATTTTTAATCAAAGGGCGTCAACTGACACTCCAGTGATCTGTCCGGCTCTAATTGGGTTGACTTTCTGACACGTGATTGGCCGATAGAAGGATTGCTTTCATGGCAGAGTAAAAAGGACTCAACCATTTAATCATTCATGACCACAGTCAGCTAAGTTGCTCTTGTCCACCAAAAAAGAAAGTAAGGGATGGAAACATTCCACAAGTCAAGCATTATTGTGTTATTATGTTTCACGCAAAGACACAAATACTGGAATGTTTATTCAGTGTGATCGAATACACTCACCTTCAAAATATTTGGGTTTGAGATCAAAAGTTAGAGAGAAAATATGAAACAACAATCCAACATCTGTTTTTGTGTCAGATACACAAGTCTTCTTTTGCCATGTTTTTCCGCGCTCTCACATAAGCCCCCCTTTTTTTTTTGGTAGGGCTGACTCCTTTGAGTCTCCGCTTTAGCAGGTCTATTAGTTTAAGTTTGGCAAAGTGTTTTTATCTTGATACACGATGCAATTGCTCTCAATCACTTGGTTTGCATCTTTCTTTACTTTGGCAGTCGAAATGTTCATTTACACTTCATGAAATAAAAGATGTAATCCTGAACTTTTGTGTGATAGTTTTCTTTTTTTAATCCGGAATCCAAATGTCTTCCATACACAACAAAACAAAGGACGACTTTGCCGTTCCAATACTTTTGGAGGGGACTGTGTTTGGTGTTATGAGCATATCCCTCCTTTCTCATAACTTCAGCCTTTCCATCACTTTGGTAAAGCTCAAACTTTTTCTCCTCAGTCCCTAAAACTGCCCAAGACGTTTGGGGTCTCAGCCTGCCTTCCTATTTTTCTTGCTAACACCGGTCAACACATTTTTACATTTTAAAATCAGAGATGCAAATAAACTTTTTTTTCTTTTTTTTTTGCTTGATTGCAATTCTGGACATATTTTCCTCAGGTTTTTAGGATAATAATAAAATAATAATATGAAATAGTATTGTTCTTTTTCTTGTATAATTGTAGCTTTGGCAATTTCTTACATACAATTTCCACTTTCAAACTGGGCTTTGTTCTCAGCCTTTGGTGAGATGATCTGATCACAAGTAAAGCTTCACAATAAAAGGCTCTTTTTGGGAATCAGTCTGTCAAATTAGCAGCGCAGCATGGAGGCATTTAGATCAAACTCACCACCAGCGAGAGTGGCCTCTTCCATGACACCACACCGATAAGCCCAGAGAGAAGAACCTGGAGGAAAGAGTACACAGAGGATGTTGAAAGAGCAAATTGATCCGGGAAGAAAGGAAAACACATGACAACAAGGATGAGTAGATCCAGAAGAACACAGTCATGTGTACATTCAAGGTTGAACTGATTAACTTTGGCCTTATTTTTACTGCACATTACTACACATGGGCCAATATTAGATTCTGACGGTACGGTGACGGTGAGCAAAAATATTGCGGTATAACGTGACCATGGTATCAAACTTACAGCTCTAAAATGTCCTTTTTTGAAAATATTAGGTAATTAAAAGAGCATTTTTTTTTCTTCATTGAACATTATCCTTTCGTCCATTTTCAACACCGCTAATCCTGAACAGGGTTGTGGGGGGTTGCTGGAGCCTATCCCAGCTGACTTCAGGCGGAAGGCAGACTCCACCTTAAACTGGTCGCCAGTCGGAACATATAGAGACAAACAACCATTCACACCACCACTGAATGGGATCCGATCCCACAAAGTCCGCGTACAAATGAGGCGTGTGTCCCACTACGCCATCAGTGACGTCATTGAATTGCATCCCTTTTATATTTCAACAAAAAATATAACATTTGGTACATTAAGAAATGTGTCTGATGTTAACTTTAAATAAATACAAACATATTAACATTCTTTTGTTTTAATTCTTCTTAGCAAGTCACAGTGTCCCATCACTGATGAGGTATTTTTAGAACAGGCCCAAAAGTTACTCATGTTGTCCTTGGGGACACGTTAGCATCTACACATGTACACGTTGCAGTTTTTTTTTTTGCTATTTTTTTCTAATCTGGTGACTAGTGGTGATGTTGCCTGCTCAAGGCCATCTTGGTTGACAGTTCAACACTCACAAGGTACTCCACCTTCCTTGCTCCCAATTTGCCAAGACTGCTCTTTTGTCTCTTAGTCCCGGCTGCTAAAGGAAGCTTGCGATGTTTTTTCATACCTCTCGGTCCCACAGACGGCAATGATATTGTCCCATGTTGTCCCACATTTTTCTTTCAGCACGCTGTGTGTGTGTGAGTGTGTGTTTTAAACCAAGTTTACCGTATGTTTTCATGTTCTGCACATGCATGAGATGTAGTAAATACATTCTCAACGCCTATCGGCTGGCACTGATGTCAAAGTTTCACACCTGCCACAAAATCTGCTTCCTCTGAGTTTCAACCCTTCACGATCTCTGCTTGATCACATGAACTGCACTGACAGTATATAGAAAAGCGCCGCCAGAAACGCTGCGCACGCATTCGGTTTGACCGTAGCATAAACCTGTTCTCCGCCCCCTTTCAACCCTTCGCCCCCCCGTCTTCCACGTATATCAGCTGGGAGCCGTGCGGGTGCATGCTCGCTTGCCCGCGGTGGCTGATGCCAAAATCAATAGCAGCTTTGGTTCCAGCAGCAGGCCGTTGCCGTGCTCTTGGTCTCCACGGGAGGCAAGCACCGATGCACTGAGTGTAATTTGCAATGATGTGTGAAGATGTGTGGACCGGACTGACTCTGTGGGGAACATTCTTGGGATGGACTGATTACTCGATGGAAAAATCATAGGATTATCGATTCTACAAAATGATTCGATATCGACCTAGCCGTGTGCATGCATGAGTGGCGCACGCAGCAAAATGATCAGTATTGATAGTGTGATCAACAGGCGAAATAGGCGGCACCAGCGTCACATAAACATGCGATGGCTCACTACGCTTGAATGTGGCGATGAGATTTTCTGTTTTGTAGACAAGTGTATGTGTCAGTGTCAGTTAGTCTCTTTTTCCGGTTTTGTTTCGCTGCCTTGTCTAGCCCATTTAGCATTGCCTTTATCTGGTCAGCCAGTTTGTCAGCAGCGATCATCCTCATCGTCCACACTCTGTTCTAGAGATGGACTGTCAAATAGCATTTGTCCACAGCATTATTATCTGCATGACATCACTCTAAGTTTGACTCTTTTCCATAGCATCAACAAGTCTGTGATCGTCTCACATGACTCACTGGGTTTTGCATTCAGTCACCACTGAGATTGAATTTCATTTAGATTTGTTTGACAGAGCTCAGGCGACCATATCTGATGCTATAGTCATGTCATGTACTGCATGTCTGTCTCATATATACTCCCTGCAATCAAAACGTGTTTATTTTTGCAGCGATGGTAAACATGTTTTCCAGCCAGTTCCATCTTCTATGAAACGCCAGCATGTGTGTTCCCCACATTGTCATTTGGCTTTCCCACATGCCACTCAATTTCTGTGTTTCTTGCCCCTCACCAGCAACATATCAGTGATGGTATATTGCTTCATTGAATATAATTTATTGTGTTTTAGTCTTGCATCCATGTCTTCACACTGATAATAAATAGCATGCAAATGTTTTATTTTCACTCACTCAGTCACACACACGCACACGCGCGCACACACACACACACACACACACACACACACACACACACGCACACGCACACATTTATGGAGAGCCTCACAAACTAAAACTGTCATCAGACTATTCTGTATGGAAAATAAATGTAAACATATTCATCACTGCAAATGCCCAAATTACCATAGCTCTACAGAGACCACAACCTGTGAGGATAAATTAAAATGCAGTCTGGCATCAATTATTATTTTGCACCCTCATACCACATCAAGTTAATTGATTCATTTTCTAATGTTGTGACAGTGATGGCGAAAAATAAAGGCGATCAATATGATAAGCCAAGTCAAACTTCTCGCCAGACATAAAATGGATCAAATTGATATTTTCACAGAACCAGCAGAGCAGTTTCACATTTGGTTTATCTACTGTGGAGTAACAGGATAGGCCAGAGACTATGTCGTATCAAGAGCCATCACAAAGACGGCAATACAAGCACGTATGTAGGCGTATAAAGCCCGTGGATTGTTTTTGTAAGAAATGATATATGAGCAGCATTCATGTGATGGATCGGCTCTCATCAAAATAGGCTTTTCTTCTTCTCTGCTCAGAGAACAGGATTAGCTTGCAATACTTAGTAGCATTAGTCACCAAAACCTGGTATATATATGTATGTATATATATATATATATATATATATACATGTGTGTGTGTGTATATGAAATAAATCGATATATATAAGGGGGGAGAGAGAGAGAGAGAGAGAGAGAGAGAGAGAGAGAGAGAGAGAGAGAGAGAGAGAGAGAGACTTGGTTTGAGTTGAGTGGCAAACTTGCATCCATTCCAGTGACCTATCATTCATTTATCATCTGCACTGCACTGCTGTCACCCTGGAATGTCTGAGCATGTGCAGGGGGTCACTCAACTTGGAGTGTGCGCCAGCAGTTGCACACCCCTGCACTAATTACGAAGTACATGTGCATCTTCATATCTGATGTTTTTATGTGTTGCCTAAAATATTGGAAGGATATAAATGATGCCATAAAGTTCACGATCATAAACACAACGTTAAATACTTCTGAAATTAAAACTGAGCATTAGAATCTTTGTGAAGGCAGCTCTCATTTGGGATCATATTCGATTCGGTGCACAGCTGACTGTGTCTGGAAAGAATAAGAATACAATTAAGGAACACAGATGAAGATGGGGAAGGAATGAGCATGACAAGAAATGATACACATCATCTATACTATAGATTCTATATTATCAAAAAACACGGATGATGCACTAGAACTGCAAAACTGAGCAAAAGGACTCAAGCAGTAGGATAAACAACACATGCCATTTCAAGGATACCATTGTAATCACTGCCATACCTGGGCTACCTATCATATTTGTTTAATCTCATCGCAATAAAACCCAACCAGAGTTAAGATGCTCAGAAAGCGATTGTATTGCGATCGTAATTTAGACCACGGAGAAGAGCGGGACTGCATCGTGACTCAAAAGCTACTTGGCATCATCGCCCAAGAACGGCACTCAGCGGAACAGAAATAGTGTGCTCAGGCCAACATAATTCGAATTTGGATCAGCACCAAATTGAGCACTTTTATACATGTGACTGAATTCTTGGGAGTATTCATGTACTTGAGAAAAAGTTGAATTATAACTTCAGTGAAAATGGCGGGTTTTCGGAAAGTAGGTTGAAATAAAGTAAGGTTGTGAAACTTTATAGTAGCACAAATTCGGACTAAGTTACTTTAATTAGCCATTTCTCCAATGGACTTCTTTCAAAACCAATCCATATGCAAGCGCATGTGCTTTCACCACCACAGCGAAGACGAAGCACCCTTGATCTTGGCTTCTTCATATGCATGGTGCCAATCAAAGAAGCCATTACGGAGAGTGAGGCTTTAGAAAGCGGGGCCCTTCTTAAAACATCACCACAGTCAAGATGGATGGAGCAGTGTGGTTGCCGTGGTTACCACATAGTGGCCATTTGCCAGGATCTGTAATGATTTCCCATCAGCTGCTGCATTGACAGAAGCAAGCAGGTACCATCTACGCTTCAAACGCTCTTTAACTTACCCTCGATCAGACACACACACACACGCGCACACACACACACACACACACACACACACACACACACACACACACACACACACACACACACATACACACCTCAATGCCTCGGAAATGTAATGAAAATAGATTTGAAGAGAGCCACCGACACATTTCTGCTCGACTTATTCCACTGAAACTCTTGGGTGCAGCAATCTGTCGGATACATGCGCACGGCCTTCATGTTCAGTTCCACTTGATGCCTGAATGTGAGTGCGTTTGTGAAAGTGTCAGCGTACGTATCTTGACGGAAGACTGTAGCACTGTGCAACACATCTCAGCTTTCACCTTCTGCTGGTTCTGCCACATTGCCAGCTTCGTCACTTCTGATATATTAAGCACATTATGATGCCTTGGGTTGCCGCCTCCTGTAGAATGTCCTCTAATGATTACAAATGTAAGTGAAAATCAAAAACTGCGGTTTCCTGCTGTGATAAATGTTCCTCGTCGTAATGAAAGTATACTGTCCTACTTTGTGAGCGTTTCCTAGGGCTGGAGGTTTACCATGTTGATTAGAATTAATTACAGAAAGCGCAACACATTCAATCGCGCTTTTCCATTTCTGCACCCCAGGCGACACGGAACTATTATGAGTGCCCCACTTCTTGGCTACACGGTAATACGGATGCACCAGAATGTTTATCACTGAAGTAGCGCAAGCCTACTGTATCAGCTTAATGCAAAAAGTGTTGCGCTTAACACAAACACCGGCCCAAACATGAGCGGCAACAGTTCTCTTCAGAGCCAAGCGACTTCCTTTTAGAAACTGTCTGAAAGAAGAGCAAAAACAGATTTGTGATGATGTGGTTATTCGTTATGATTCATCATGACCACACTGTTACAGCCTGTATTACAAAAGGAATGTGTGGTCAAAATAAAGTGCCCGAATTCAAAAATTTGGATTGAGCCAACTCAGATTGTGAGCACAAAATGCAGCATATGCAGGTATCTATTTGTGTATGACAGTCGATAGCGCTTGAGTTCCCTTCCTTTTAGGACGCACGTGTTATGTGGGAGACAAGATGTGTGTGAAAGTGCATGTGTGTGCATCTGTTTGTGTGTGTGGGTGGCACTGGGATTTGGTTTGCTTGATTTTATTGTGGGGAGGACTTTGTGCTGCACGTTCATGTAGGAAAAGTGTTGTAATATAATGGATTCATTCGTTTTGAATTCAATGTTGTTTCTGATGTTCACTTATATGCCTTTTCTGTGAATAAATACTCATATTGAAAAATATTCACTATTCAATTCAAATGAAACGACATGATTTCAAAGCATCTACTGTATTTAGTCTCAAGTCCCACCACGAGCAAGTATGCAAACGGCCTTAAACAACAATAGCTCAAAATGAAAAGAATTACAGCTAACCGTCTGTGTGTGTGTGTGTGTGTGTGTGTGTGTGTGTGTGTGTGTGTGTGTGTGTGTCTAAATATGCCCTAATGGAAGACAAACGAAGGTGAGCAGTAGGCTTTATAGCTGGTGAAGCAATTTTAGCTGCAACCTTGAAGTAACCTTTTCTGGCGGTGACTGTGGTGATCTAAATGTATGTGCGTGTGTGTGTGTGTGTGTGTGTGTGTGTGTGTATGTATGTGTGTGCGTGCGTGCGTGCATGCCTTGAAATATGCTACAGCATTGATGCAAAAGGAATTGACCATCAACATAAGCGTCAAACATGTGCACGGTGAATGAAGCATGTGATTCAACGCTGCTTGTTTTCTTGAGCTCACGCTGACGGAGTGAACAGATGAGAGCGTTTGGTTTCCTTGTGTTCCCGCTATTCAAACACAAGGGCCCCCATGCCCCAACATCCGCCCCCCAACTGTCCTCCCGTTCCTCACCACCCGCCACCTGCTTCTGCTTCGAAAACCCTCCCCCCACCTCGTATCAGCACTCCGCTTTGGAGCTGAGCCGCACCTCAGCGGCGTTGCCATGGAAACAGCAGGACAACAGCATGTTCGCTGCTGCTCCAAGGAGGCGTGGCATGTCAGCCACCCACTGCTCCTGTCTTTGCACAAGCGGTACCTACTGTATGTGTCCAATATTATGCCATCTTAGCAGCCATAGCAGTGACTCCTTCATGGAAACGGCTGGACTGGAATAAAACTGCTCTGATACAATGCCATTTCAAACATGGGTAAGGCTCAGCACCTCCTTGGTGGGAGCTTTCTACTCACGTGCCACGTGTCACTCTGGAGCAGGGGTGCCCAACACGTCGATTGCCATTGACCGGTAGCTTGCGGACTGGTCCTAAGTCGATCACGAGGGGTGTAGAGGGGGAAAAGAAAATCCAACCAAAAACATTTGTATGTCTGTGTGCGTGTTATTAAAATGATATATTTTTGTGTTAGTGCACACCGCATTCTTAGCATACCTTCGGTCTCACTTTCATAAAAAGTATTTAAAAAATAAAATAAAATAAAAAAGCAGGTCACCTTTAACCTACGGTGGCCGGTCCGACTATCGGGGTTGAGTGAACGCTGGCGCATCTGGCTGCCGCTGCTCAACCCATACTGTGTTTTATTGTTTTTGTTCCTGATTGTAAAGTGTCCTTGGGTGTCTTGAAAGACGCTTATAAATAAAATGTATTATTATTAATATTATTATTATTATGCGCCTTATAATGCGGTGCATCCTATTTATGAAAACAGTTTTAAAATAGGCCATTCATGAAAGGTGCGCTTTATACTCCAAAGCGCTTTATAGTGCAGAAAATATGGTACTGAAAAAAAATTATCTAGGTCCAGATCATATTATTTTATGCAACCACTTGACCTAATAAAATTGAGTAAAGTTTTTTTTTTTTTGCTGTAATGTGTAATAAAAAGTGTGAAGTGAACTTGTCCAACCTTCTTTTGAGTACCATATTTTCCGCACTAAAAGGCGCACCTAAAAGCCTTCCATTTTCTTAAAAGCTCACAGCGCGCCTAAAAATCTGATGCGCCTTGTGTATGGTCATTACGGTAATATTTCGACCCCCAAAATGGCTCCTTGCTTGAGACATGCTGACAACGCATAGTTCAAACTTAAGGCGATCGGTTACGCAGTTGAACACGAAAATAGAGCAGCGACAAGCGAGATCAACGTTAACGAGTCAATGTTATAACCTGATGTTGGTTGAGTGAACTGTCGCTGCTTTATTAAAAAAGTTTTACTGACATCTGATCGTTCTGTTGCCGTTTCCTTGATGGTAGCTCCATCTCGCATTATAATGCGGTGCGCCCAATGTATGAAAAAAATGACAAAATAGGCCATTCATTGAAGGTGCGCCTCATAATCTAGTGCACCTTTTAGTGTGGAAAATACGGTAATATTAATGGCTAAAACTATTTTAAGCAGACTGTCATTCGTTTTTTTTTTGTTTTTGTTTTTTAATGCGACCTACACAGCTTCATAATTAGACAGTGAAAATGCTTTTGTTCGGCGATCTGCGGCGACTGACATCATCCGCAAAATGCCGAGTCGCCAGCCATTGTCCTGCATTGCTGATTGTCCCATTAACTGCTCTCTTTGCCTTTGTTTTTAAATAATTAAACAAAATGCCTCGGTACTGTGTGGCGATGCATTGTTCACAATCTGGCCAACATTTGTCTGAGTGGCCAAACGATGGGCATGTAAATGGTTTGTTTTCGCAAAGCAAATGAATTTCATGCCGGTGTCTCTTTATTTATTGTATTTTAGTCTCATTTTATTTATATATTCTAATCTGTTATTTACGTTTTTAAATTACCTTCTTTTTAAGTGGATTGGTTAACTTAATATTGGTTAAAAGCTACATGACATAAATCACATTAAATGTTCCGGGCTGGCCCGGTGTGTCAGTGGTTAGTGCGTCGACCCCACTGTGCAGACGTACCAGGTTCGATTCCAGCTCTGACCTCTCTGTGTGGAGTTTGCATGTTCTACCCGGGCCTGCGTGGGTTTTCTCTGGGTACTCCGGTTTCCTCGCACATTCAAAAACATGCATGGCAGGCTGATTGAACACTCCAAATTTTCCCAAGGTGTGAGTTTGATTGTGAGCACGAATGGTTCTTTGTGTATGTGTGCCCTGCATTTGGCTGGCAACCAGTTCAGGGTGTTTCCTGCCCGAACACAGCTGGGATAGGCTCCAGCACGCCCGCGACCCTCGTGAGGGTAAGCGGATTGGAAAATGGATGGATGGACATTAAATGTTCCATGCGGTGACCACACGAGTTTGCCTTTATACTCGCATGCAACCAGTCCATGTTTTTTTTTTTTTTTTCTTTTTCCTCCGCGTATCCTCTGCATATTATGGCCGATTCCACCTGCAGTTTTTATTTTGTGAAAGAGGGAACAACGTGACAACATTGCAGACCGTGCCTGATAGAATAAAGGGACTGTTTTGCGAAATTGATCAAGAAGGCAGTGTCGGTCGTATGTGTGTGTGTGTAGGCGTCTTTACACACGTGCATATCACCTATGCTGGCGCCAAGCTAGCTTGTTTCGCAGTAGCAGCAACAAGCTGCGTGGGGCGGATCTTCTCTTCCATGGGGACAAATAAATGACCCTCAAAGA